CTCCGAGGCCGTAGGTGGTTCCACGTTCACCGTCCAGGGTTCTACTTCACCTGTGGGCTGTAGATGAGTGCCGGCTGGTGGCCAAGACATTTGTTGTTCAAAGTATTCAGCCCACCGGTCAATGCGTTTCTCCTTATTAGAGATGGTCCAGAGAATGTCCGAACAGCATTTGAGAACTTTAAACGTGAACCACAGAATGCAATGGTGGTGGATGTCATGCTGTCGATGATGATGATGATGAATGGTGGTTACTGTCGACTACACTATCCCTCTCATCGTTGAAACTGATGCGTCCGACATCGCTACCGGTGCATCCTTGAGCCAGGGTAACCGGCCGGTCGCCTTTTTCTCCAGGACCTTGACTGCAAGCGAAAAAAATCATTCTGCTGTTGAAAAAAGCATTTGCTATCGTCGAAGCGATCCGCAAATGGCGCCACTATCTCCTCGGGAGACATTTTAAACTGATTACGGATCAACGTTCGATAGCCTTTATGTATGGGAACAAACAGAAAAGTAAAATAAAGAACGACAAGATTGAACGGTGGAAAATCGAATTGACAGGGCACAACTACGACGTCGTCTATAGACCTGGAACGGATAACTGCATTGCGGATACTCTATCTCGCAACCTTTGTGCCAACATTGCTAAGACGGAGAAACCTGAAGAGCTTCACATCTTATGCCACCCCGGGGTGACGAGATTTGCACATTTTGTTCGTTCTAAGAACCTTCCTTTTTCAGTCAGCGATATCCGACGTGTGATACCAACGGTTCCACATACTCCGAACTCAAACAAAAATTTTGGCAGCTTACCAAAGCCACACAAACCGTTTGAACGGCTTAGTATCGACTTTAAAGGACCACTCCTCTCAAACACTCGAAACAGGTACCTCTTAACAATCACTGACGATTATCCTCGATTCCCTTTTGCTTGTCCTTGCGCCGATGTCTTCTTCCGCTGTTTGGTATGCCTGCTTATATTCACTCAGATCGCGGTTTTGCGTTCATATCAATTGAATTCAAACAATTTTTTTCTATGAGGACGATGCTACTAGTCACACCGCTCCATATAATCCACAATGTAATGGTTAGGTTGAACAAATTGATGGTACCCTTTGGAAAACCATCTGCCTGACTCTAAAATCACGCCTGTCATACATTGGAAATTTGTTCCCCTTGATGTCCTCCATTGTATCAGGTCCCTGTTATGTACTAGTATCAACTGTACCCCACACGAACGTTTCATGCAGTTCACACGACGATCAACTAACGGAGTCTCCCTACCTACCTGGCTTACTGTCCCTGGGCTGATCCTTTTGAAACGCAATGGTCGAATTTCTAAATATGAGGAAGTGGAACTCGTCTGTTGTAATCCACAGTATGCCCACATAGTTTGTCCGGATGGCAAACACGAAACCGTATTTTAACGCCGCTTGGCTCCTAAAGGCAACGACATGATATCCGACAGAGAACTGGAACCAGTACATATCACAGAACATGGGGAGCCTCATGCAACACCAAAAGTCCACCGTGATTGCTCAGAAACTGAACTCTTGCCTATTAACGATGCCTCATCATCCCACTCTAGTACAGGTCCAGGAAATCACTTGGACACTCTTATCCGACCACAGCGATCTCACCCATATAGTCTACGCAACAGAGAGGCGTGAACGACCCCACGTAACTACTACAGCTTTTCAATTTTTTTACACTCTTTTTCCGCAAAGTACACACTTATTCCAAGGTGGGAAGAATATCAAGACTGTATAAACCATACATTTGCATGAAGCATTAACTCGTAATTCTCACTCTATATTTTCAGCTCATGTACTACCGCTATTAGACGAGTAAAGCGCACGTTAGGACATTCTATTCTGTGTTCCTCCTAATCTCGTCCTGGAACTACTCGACTCTCGTAAAAGGAGGTGGGGTAGTTAGCTACACATTGGAGGCAAAAGGTGAAAAGTCTGTCCGCAAATACAGTGGACTTTTAAGTCCGGGGGGTTGGGAAGGGAACTTCGTATTAAAGGCAATAGCTTGAATGCATGAGCGCCATTGAGGGCGCGACTGGGCCATGTCTGACAATGTCTCTAACCATTGACGTGTCCTGTCTCGGGGTCCCCATCCAGAAAGACGGCAGTGACCAGCACGGCTGAGGTTGCTAGTAATGGCTTAAATACTTCACTGCCAAGTCATTGTTTCACCTCCTCCAGCTCGTTTCCATCTTTCACGCGGTTGTACAAAAAGAACGCTTGGAGGAAGTTGGTCGAATGGCATATGGAGCACGTGGCAAAGTCGGCAAAATTTACGTACTGTAATCAGTTCATCTATCGTGGGTGAGTTAATTCTTTCGAATGCCATTCGGCGTACTTTAGCATAGCCTATCCGGTGTTCCCACCAGACTCAGGTGATGCTCCGAAGACGTCGATGCTCAAACGCTGAAAGACGTCCATGGCGTGCAGCAGACAAGTTTCCGATCCGTACAGTAATATGGAGCGCACTGCAGCATTGTCAACTCGACCCTTGGCAGACAAACTGATGCCACGCCTACACCACAGGTGACGCAGGTTCACGAAAGCTATTCTGGCCATCCCAACCCAGACGGAAATATCATCTTTTATGAGAGCACCGGGACTGATGCAGCTACCCAGGTAAACAAATGTGACCACTATCTCAATCGGCTCATCCGCAAGCATGAGGTTAGGTTCCGAGCCCAGTCTTGCAGCAGCACCTTTCATTTTGCAGGTGTAGAGCAAATGCCAAACCATGAGGCGGAATAATTTAGATTATTTAATAATGTTTGCATTACCACGAAGTCAGATACCAGAGGAGCAATTTTGTCTATGTACTCGATATCTGTAAGCGGACGTCCCCGGAGCACTTCGACCCCACGGGCATTAGAGGCTGATAGTAAGTTTTCTTTTGATCATATCAATGACGAAGTTGAAGAGGAAATATGAAAGACGATAGTTCTGTCTCACACAACTTGACGAGGTGAACTCAGAAGAGAGCTTCCCGTAGACATTCACACGGCTGCGGGAGTTGGCTTGCAGCGCCTAAAGGAGGGCCAAGAATTTATGGGAGGACACCCTTGCTCCACAGACTGCCATAGCGTCACGAAGAGACTGGATCTTACCGTGGTGTGACGGTTTGCGCACCTAAGCGATCCATTGAGCTATACTGGAGAGTGTCCCGCGACACTCACAGTCTCTCACACCAGGTTGGTCAATGGTTAGAGGTCTGACGAACA